GTTAGGTTGTCTCAGAACTCTCACAATTTCATGGACTGCCTTTATCATCAAACTTATTAAAAGGCAGAGTTCACTGGTACAATACGGCACGATTTTCACCAGATCTGTAGTATAGGTCCTTACGGGGTCGCGTGGAGCGCTGCGTGCGCTATTTGAAACAAAAGACCCTATTTGAGTGTGCCGAGCGTTGCGAGCGGCAGAGTTGAGCGGCGCGGCGTTTCAAATGGCGCTGATTGTTCTCCCACGCAAATGTGCCGCGCAGTGCACATCGCAAGCTTTTGCGACGCCGCGCGGTGACCTAAAAGTGGACACTTAGGCTCAGAGTTCTCACTTCATCAGACCTAGTGACATGGTCGGTCACATAACTGAATTTGTTTCCATTCAGGACACCTGATTTGAACCTCCGCACTGTGTCCACGAAACAAATATTGAGAGCTGCTCAAGAACTCGGCTCGCTAACGATCTCAGACTGTCTGTCATTACCTCATCCGCAGACACCACTTGGGTTGGTTGGTTGTGTGGCAGTGTGGTTGGCCGGGAAAACTCTCTCGACGGTAAGTTCATCCGTATGCAAAATCGCTTATTATCTCCATATACCTACGAATTGTAGAACTTTGGATAATTGGTCTACAAGATGGTAGAAGTGCATCCCGTGCTGATCACATGGGCGGGGTCAGACCTACCCGTCATGCATACTTCATTGGCAACTCCTCTCTAACTTTTCGCTTCTTCTTTACCGTTCTGGAAAGAACAGTGCACCAACGAAAAAGCATTGTATGTGTGGCTCCGCCTATATCATAAGTGTGGACGGTATCTCTGAACAATAGTGTCGATACAAAGTTATATCAGTAGCTGGGATCAGGGCACTTCGTATGGGGAATCACAGAAGGGGGAATCGTAGCTGGACGGCGGAAGGAGGGTGAGGGTCGTATTTGTCTTGAGGAATTTTTTTGATAGTTGATTTGTGCTGTTTCACGTGCTCTATCCACATCGTTGGGAAATTCCCATCAAGGGGTCGTGTTTCCTTGTTGCCTTGAGTCACTCGGGAGGGGTTCACATTGCTTGGGGATTTTTGACTGACCTTCTGATTTTTCGCGGATTTGCCGGTCACCCCTGCCCCATCCTCCAACGCCAATGTTCTGAATAGCTACTATTTTGGAAGGTTGAAAATAATGGTTGTTCGGTGGTGAAATCCTCATGATCGATGGCAAAAATTCTTTGAAATAGTGAGAAAGGTCGTTAAGGCAGGTAAGATGAAGGTAGGCTAGGGGGGAGGAAGGTCGTACCAGAGAAGGAAATGGGTGGGGGAGGCGTTTCCCAAAATCTTCCCAGTCATAGGAAGGAAATAGCTAAGCCCCATTCCTCGGAATATGAATTTATCTCAGGGCCCTGTATGAGAGGGCCACCCCTCTGGTGTGGTTTGAACATCTGACAAAAGCGATTACCTCGCAGCTGGAGGTCGTTGCATTCGGAACAGATGTCCGAAAAACTGAATACATTGGCTACGGGGTTTGAAAAAAAACGGCTCACTAAATCGATCCGCTTTCAGTTCGAGGGAACTCTGAATCATCCGGATCCGTCACGACTCAAACACGTCATCAAGAAATTTGAGGTAAGTAGTTTACTGCACTACACTAGCGTCCCGAT